GAGGGATTTGAGATGCTACTTAACATCACAAGATTAAAAAAAAATAATCAAGATTGGTGACTGTGTTTCTATGAATGTAGGCAGTGCTGGGAAATACCACAAAGAAGCACACAGTTATTAGTGGCAGGAGTTCCCCTATGTAAACAGTCTTGCTTGCTGTCAACCAGAACACAATATGACCTGAATATTAGACTGTCTTCAACCACCCTGGGCACTGCCGGTAGGCAATGACTATTTGTTGAGGCATTTATCCACTGTAGTAGCAAACGGACCATGCTATTAAAAACAAAAGTAGAACACAAGTTGCAATTTAACAACCGCTGCCATGTAATCACAATGTCTTGCACACACAGTCTCCTTCTGCCAGTTATGATCATCTACCTCTTGTAGCATATTTTGCTATTTCTCAGCCATATAAATGTTGGCATCGTGTATTTTAGCTTGCCTTTTTTTTTTTTTTTTTAAGCCACCTTGCGGTAAGGGAGATTAGAGAGATGCTGCGTTCGGTAAATGAAGTATAGAGGCCAGCAGGTTGAGGTCTCCTCTGAGGAGAGGAAGGATTAAAAAGCAGTTGGGGGGCACTTCCCAAGTGCAAAACACTGAGAGGAGTCGGTCCGTGCCTATCAGCCCACCCTGTGCCTCATCACAAACCAGGAAGGAAGAATATGCCTGAACACGCCTGAATTTGGGATGGCTCCCCCTGCCCCATTCCCCAAGCTCCTGCTCCTCGGTTCATAGGATGGTTTGCTGGTTTTATTTGGGCACTGCTTTACTGAACAGCATCCAGGTCCATGTTAATTCTGTTTCTTTTCTCTCCTACAGCATCTCCTGAAACATCCCTTCCATCTCCTTCTACAAGCACAGGCAGTGAAGACTATAAACTAGGCTCTAGCGCAGGACCCAACGCCATAGCACAGCTCTTGCCTCAGACAGTGATACCCAAGCAGGAGATTTTATAGGGAGAGGTGGAAGGAGAAGCTGGGAGCAATGTGGAAACCATGCTGAAAGTGAAACGGGCCCTTTCTCTTTGCAGAGGCAAAGCACGGCAACCCCCTGCCTGTAGCCTGATCTGTCGGTCACACTCTTT